GGATGCTCGACGGGATGAAGCCGTGGAAATAGCTTGGGGAAATAGCTTGGGGAAACTTCGCTGCGAGGGAGCGAGACCGGCTGCTCGACGGGATGAAGCCGTGCAAATCGCTTGGGGAAACTTCGCTGGGAGGGAGCGAGACCGGATGCTGGACGGGATGAAGCCGTGGAAATAGCTTGGGGAAACTGCGCTGGGAGGGAGCGAGACCGGATGCTCGACGGGATAAAGCCGTGGAAATAGCTTGGGGAAATAGCTTGGGGAAACTTCGCTGGGAGGGAGCGAGACCGGATGCTCGACGGGATGAAGCCATGGAAATCGCTTGGGGAAACTTCGCTGGGAGGGAGCGAGACCGGATGCTGGACGGGATGAAGCCGTGGAAATAATAGCTTGGGGAAACTTCGCTGGGAGGGAGCGAGACCGGATGCTCGACGGGATGAAGCCGTTGAAATAGCTTGGGGAAACTGCGCTGGGAGGGAGCGAGACCGGATGCTCGACGGGATGAAGCCGTGGAAATAGCTTGGGGAAATTTCGCTGGGAGGGAGCGAGACCGGATGCTGGACGGGATGAAGCCGTGGAAATAGCTTGGGGAAACTTCGCTGGGAGGGAGCGAGACCGGATGCTGGACGGGACAAAACCGTGGAAAATAGCTTGGGGAAACTTCGCTGGGAGGGAGCGAGACCGGATGCTGGACGGGACAAAACCGTGGAAATAGCTTCGGGAAACTGCGCGGGGAGGGAGCGAGACAGCATGCTGGACGGGACAAAACCGTGGAAAATAGCTTGGGGAAACTGCGGTGGATGGGAGCGAGACAGCATGCTGGACGGAAAGCTGTGCTGCGAGGAAGCGCGACAGCATGCTGGACGGGACAAAACCGTGGAAATAGCTTGGGGAAACTTCGGTGGGAGGGAGCGAGACAGCATGCTGGACGGAGAAGAAAGCGTGCAAATAGCTTGCAGAAAGTTGCGCTTGAAGGGAGCGAGACAGCATGCTGGACGGGATGATGCCGTGGAAATAGCTTGAGGAAACTTCGCTGGGAGGGAGCAAGACAGCATGCTGCACGGAGACGAAAACTGTGGAAATAGCTTGCGGAGAGCTTTGCTGGGGGGAAGCGCGAGAGGATGAGACAGCATGCTGGACGGAGAGGAAACCGTGCAAATAGCTTGCGGGGAGCTTCGCTGGAAGGGAACGAGACAACTGGACGGATGGGAAACCGTGGAAATAGTTTCGGAGAGCTTCGCTGTGAGGAAGCGAGATAGCATGCTGGACGGAGAGGAAACCGTCCAAATAGCTTGCGGAGAGCTTCGCTGGGAGGGAGCGAGACAGCATGCTGGACGGAGAGGAAACCGTGAAAATAGCTTGCGGAGAGCTCCACTGGGAGGGAGCGAGACAGCATGCTGGACGGAGAGAAAACCGTGGAAATAGCTTGGGGAAAGTCCGCTGGGAGGGAGCGAGACAGCATGTTGGACGGAGAAGAAACCGTGCAAATAGGTTGCGGAGAGCTTCGCTCGGAGGGAGGGAGACAGCATGCTGCACGGAGGAAAGTGTGAAAATAGCTTGCGGAGAGTTTCGCTGGGAGGGAGCGAGATAACATGCTGGACGGATAGGAAACCGTGGAAATAGCTTGCTGAGCTGGGAGGGAGCGAGACAGCTTGCGGAAAGCTTCGCTGGGAGGGAGCGAGACAGCATTCTGGACGGAGAGAAAACCGTGCAAATAGTTTGCGGAAAGCTTTGCTGGGAGGGAGCGAGACAGCATCCTGGACGGAGAGGAAACCGTGGAAATAGGTTAAGGAGAGCTTCGCTGGGAGGGAGCGAGACAGCATGCTGGACGGAGAGGAAGCCGTGCAAATAGGTTGCGGAGAGCTTCGCCGGGAGGAAGCGAGATAGCATGCTGGACGGAGAGGAAACCGTGCAAATAGCTTGCGGAGAGCTTCGCTGGGCGGGAGCGAGACAGCGTGCTGGACGGAGAGGAAACCGTGCAAATAGGTTGCGGAGAGCGTCGCTGGGAGGTAGGGAGACAGCATGCTGGATGGACAGGAAACCGTGGAAATAGCTTGCGGAGAGCTTCGCTGGAGGGAGCGAGACAACATGCTGGACGGATAGGAAACCTTGAAAATAGTTTGCGGCAGAGCTGTTGGCACGGGTTTTTTCAGGACAAATGCCATCATTGCGATTGGCCTGAAAAAATTGTGGACCCAAGACTGGTCAAATGGTCCCAAGACCGGTCAGACGGTTTGCAAAGGCTGAAAAATGGGACATGCACAGAGAAGCTTTTACACAAAAAAGCCTTTACACAGAAACTTTGACACACA